AACTGCACACAGCAAGGAGACCAGCCCCCTAAAATTTCAGCGCTCCAGCTTTTCTGATTCCCGATCCGGCGAATTTTCCGGCAGAAACTTTCACAAGGCCATACATAGGAGTCACGCACAGCTGAGAGCTGGATTTGAAGTCGTTAGCTCCTAAGTGGACAGGAAATATTCCCTCAAAATTTCAGCCTCTCAGCTTTCCTGGTTCCCGACTTAGCGGCTTATCCCCTAAAAAGTTTCACGAGGCCGTTCGTGAGAACCACACTTACTTGGGGGCTCAGTTTGAAATTTTTTTGTGAGCGGGGAACATCTCAAAATTTCAGCCTCACAGGTTTTCTGGCTACCGAGTTAGCGATTTTTCTGCCAAAAAATTTATGCGCTTGTACGTTGGACCCAGATGTGCGTGAGGGTTGGTACCACGGTCCTGGGGTGACACCTGGCCGGGGAACCAACTGGCAATATTTTGCCGCCCGAGCTTGCTTGGTTGCCAAGTTGAAATCCCGGACACAAACACGCAAACAGTGTTGTTGCAGTATGCGCTTTTACAATTTGCATATCTGCAAAAATGCATGAAAAGCAAAAAGTTATAGAAATTTGTTTTGTGCTACTAATAGATTTCGTATTTATAAACCTTGCAGTACAAAAATTTTTTATAACCAAGTTTTTAATAAAAAACTTGAATCTGTCCTTGAAAACATGCTCTATTTTCCTTTCTTTCCCAACTCTGTAATTGCCCGCTTATTGTTTTCAGGACTTCATTCATACGAAGTGTAATCTTAAGAAGGTGTAAGTTTCAAGGCTACCGGATGAGGGTTACCTATTACGGAGCACACGGGATGCCGACAGTTTACAAACGCAAAAAATTAAAAAATCAAGATTTAGGAATTATTTCTGAAAGTAATTCTAAAGCAGTAGTTTGAAACAAATGATCAAACTTTCCTGTATGATCAGCTAGGACTTTGCACCAAAATTCAAGCTAACGCTTGAAGAAGCAAGCTAATACTTCGTATGAGTTTTGAGGAAGGGGTATTTCAATAGATAACTTTAGTCTAGTTGCTTGAATTTTAGGTTTCAAACCTCGTTGTGCCTTTTTTTTCTGGTAGGATGAAATTTAGATCAAATTTTGGGACAAAACATCAAAAACGAAAGAGATAAATCATCAATAAATTCTGATCAGAAACTTATCAAACTTCTGCACTAAGAAACTTCTATACGTTAAAAATATATTACAGTTTTCGATACATCACTTCGGTATATCATTATTTTTCTGCGTTCTTCGTTGCGAAGCAGCTGCACAAAACGCACGTTGTCACGGAGCTGTATGTGTGTTTGTGCGTACATGTGTGCTTGTGTGGATGTGTCCGAAACATCCTGTCCGCAACTTTCAACTCGAGAGCACAAAAGCTCCGAAGCTGAAAATTCATGGGAACCTTCTCCGCCGACGTGACCTCGAAAATTCAAATTCAGCCTATCCGTGTCCGCAAGTAACGTAAAAGCTTTGGTGGGAAAATTATTAGCTCAGAAACCAGGGAAGCTGTGAAGCATACATTTTAGGGTGATGCCCCCTACTAATGTACGATTCTGCAAATTTATATTTAGCCCTTACGCACCCCTAGTTACCATGTACGACGTCGTGAGATTTTTGGAAGGGGAATTATTATCTCGTGAACTGCGAAAGCTAGATAGCTGAAATTTCATGACAATGTCTCCTGCCCAATTCCAAATTTGCCAGTTTAAATTCAACCTTCCCTACGTCTGCGTAACACGTACGGCCTCGTGAAAGTTTTGGCGGAGAAAACTGTTATCTCGAGGGCCATGAAAGCCAGGACGTTAAAATTTTAGGGTAGCGCTTCTTGCCCAGGTACAACCCCGCAAATTCAAACAGCTTTCACGTATGCTCCTTGGGTCATAACGTGGAAGTTTTGGTCGAAAAAATTATTACTTTGGGAATCAAAAGAGCTAGAAGGCAGAAAATTTCAGGCGAATATTTTCGGCTTAAGCAGAAGCTCCACGAACTCATATTCAGGCCCCAAGGATTTCGGGGTCTCACTTATGACCACGTAAAGTTTTGTCGCAAAAATCACTCGAAAGCCAGGAAATTAGGAGGTTAAAATTTTAGAAGGGTGTTCGCCATCCAATGTTCTAGCGAAAAAAAACCGCAACTTATTTTTGCACAGACCTAGTTGCAAAGCAGCGAAAATCTTTAACATGCAGATGCTTGCTGGACGGGACTGTGCAGAAAGTGTGGTCGCACCAGGTGCCCTGGTGCGCGTTGCTATTTACTTCGTTGGTGACAAAAAACAAAAAGGGAGGCATGCTTGTATTCTTGTTTTATCAAAGTGATCTTCATTCTTCCTATCAAAGCATCACTAAACCTTTCATGAGGCCCGTGATACATCGAAGGGGAGCGAACCTTAATCGACAAATGACTTGTAAATTTAAAAATTTCAAAGCAGAGCACTGTGCTCAGCATTAGATCAGCAGAAGTGACATCTTAACCTAGGTTTTCACCCAGAAACGACGCAGAGCATAATATCACATTATGTAACGCTACACATTCACTCGGACTTCAAGACGCGACGTTTCAGAGTAATTTAGCTTATTTAGAGCTTAAAGCGGAAACTTTTGCTACAGTTCGTACAGAACTCAGAACAGCAACTCTAACGTCCAGAAAGTCAAAATAAAGTGACTTCAAAACTGCTCTTTTCATAGGAATTCGGTCACATATTGTAATCCTTTCCAGTTTTATGTGGGAAAGCTACATGCTATGTATCGGTATATGTGTGCGTTTTTTTGACCATGCGTAAGTATGGATGTGCATTTTTAGCTGCTGACAGCGTTACAGTTTGACAGATTCTCGACTCGAACAAGCGAATTTTCTGTTAAAGCAGATTTACTGACTCGTAATCCTAGTACGCTGTAATATTTTAGTTAAATGTAAGCCATGACGGAAACAGGATTTGTGAAATTACGCTCTCTGTAATACATTTCACTAATTCCTAGTCTTTGCTCTTTCCTGTAGTAAAATATTCTAGGTTTACGTGAAAAACTTCCGACTGGAGTGAAATTTTGCAAGCATCTATCACAGGAGACGTTCCTACCTGGCTAGGAAGTAAAGGCGCATCAAACCATCGGCAGTACGCTTCATGCGGGCTCTGCCATCATGCATTTTCGCGATATCGCTTCAAATGCAGTAGCTAGAATTTGTGGCGTACCACTCCTTGAATTTTAGGAGGTTTACTGTACGTAGAGGAAACATTCCGATAAAATTTCAGCTCTTCAGCTTTTCTGATTCCCTAATTAGAAATCTTTCCTCCAAAGCCGTAAGAACTGAGCATAGCAAGGAGGCCACCCCTACCCCCTCCCCCTCCCGCCCCAAAATTTCAGCGCTCCAGCTTTTCTGATTCCCGATTCGGCGAATTTTCCGCCAAAAAATTCCACAGAGTCATACATAGGAGTCACGCACAACTGGGAGCTGAGTTTGAAGTCGTTAGCTTCTGCGTGGACAGGAAATATCCCCTTAAAATTTCAGCCTTCCAGCTTTCATGGTTCCCGACTTAGCGGCTCATCCCCTAAAAATTTCATGGGGCCGTTCGTGAGAACCACGCGTACCTGGGGGCTCAATTTAAAACTTTTTTATGAGCGGGGAACATCTCAAAGTTTCAGCCTCACGGCTCTTCTGGTTGCCGAGTTAGCGATTTTCCCGCCAAAACTTTCATGCACTTGTACGTGAGGCCCAGGTGCGTGAGGGTTGGTACCGCGGCCTTAGGCTGGCACTTGGCCAGGGAACCAACTGACAATATGTTGCGGATTCGGTCACATATCATAATATTTCGAGTTTTATATGGAAAAGCTACATGCTTTGTATCGGTATATGTGTACGTGTTTGTGACCATGCGTACTTATGGATGTGCATTTTGGCTGCTGACAGTGTTACAGTTTGACAGATTCTCGACTCGAGCAAGCAAATTTTCTGTTGAAGCAAATTTACTGATTCATAATCCTAGTACGCTGTAATATTTTAGTTAAATATAAGCCATGACGAAAACAGGATTTGTGAAATTACGCTCTCTATAATACATTTCACTAATTCCTAGTCTTTGGTCTTTTCTATAATAAAATTTTCTAGGTTTACGTGAAAAAATTCCGACTGGAGTGAAATTTTGCAAGCATCTATCACACTAGACGTTCCTGCCCGACTTGGAAAAGCAGTGTGGTGAAGACGAACGCTTTCTAGAGACAGCAGTCGAGAGTCACTCTCTTACTTGAACGAAATGAAATGCAGTACAAATTAAAGTATCGGAATAAAAGTTCATCATCATCTAACGAGGGGTTTCAGACAGCGTGTCCAGTGCCAGGACAGGCCACAAATCGCTGCTCACGTAAATGGACACATACAGCAGTATCAACTCTCTAAAAACGTAAAGTAACTGAACACTTTGCTCTATGTAAGTTGGCAGCAAAGCCAACAAGCGGCCAAATCTGCAATGCGCGTAGTAACGGTTTCGAAAGTTCATAGAAGAAAAATACGGATCTCTCAGTACCTAGTTTTCCTCGAGTTCTTTTTTGAGATGAAGGCAATACGTTGACAAATTTTAAAAACTGCAGGTTCTGAAATTTCATAGGAATATGCTTAAAAAGAGGGTGATATGAAAGTAAGAAGTTTATCAAACATAAAAAAGTTCAAGTCAAAAAGATCCATAAAAGTAAAAAACAGGGCTGCCGAAGCAGCTTCCACATCACAGACAGATGAGAAAAATTGAACAGTGGGAAAAAGGTACTTACACTAGCACTAGCAGGCCACTGCAGTGAAAAATCCGTAAGAATAAAAAGAACGGGGCAGAACTGTACAATGGACAAATCCCAATATTTGTGCAAATTCATAACGTTTCAAAATTATCACAGAGGCTGTCATGTTTTCCAGAACTCTTTTTTCGGAATTTGAGCGACCGTTAGTGTTACCCATTCCATGTGCTGCTTTTACAGGACAAGGTGAAAGTGATTTACTCCCTGGCGTGAAACACTGCCAATTCATTCAAAACAATAAAAGCGTCGACATCATCTAATCGAGTGTAATAATAGAAGCGGTAAGCACTATCAAGTCGCCTGTTTGGGCCAAGGGGTAATTTCAAGAAATTTTCTTCGAAGACATTGGCACGCTGTAGATTGCGAATTAGTCGGCTGGGATTCGGATTCAAGTGTCTGGTCACACGCGCACAGTTAAAGGTGTTTGGCTGACATGGGCAACGATGGGCACTGTTCGGCGAGTAACGTCCCATATGAAGCAAGTGGCTATAGCTAAAACATTTACTTAGACTTATCCAGGCGCTGATCAAAATACTTTAACATTGCGGGCAACAGCAATACCGCAACTGCATTCCTTCTCATCATTAAACAGTAAGCAAATTTTACAGGAAGAAAGAATGGAGAACAATGTACAGCACTAAATTCAACTAGAATTCAGAGTGGCTGTGCAGTAGTGCTTACCTGAATACCATGATTAAAGCAGCAACCATGATTAAAGCAATCATCACTACTATTGCTACTAATTTCTATCACTACTAAAACTAATGTCATTGCTATCGTTTTCACTTATTACAAGCCATGGGGAGCTGTAGTAGTACCTGCTGCAAGTGGCATCCATATTTTTTTCAAATTTTGGGCGATTTCCTTCTTTGAATCCGGAGAAGGCCTAAAATGACTTACGATTAAAACACGAGACCGAAATTCAACCCAGGTAGAAGCGCATCAGGCTTGCCGGTATGATTATGCGTTTTTGCACCCATTTTTGCATTATTTACTTTATTTTGCATAAAGTGAATA